CATAAACTCGTAGGTTGTTAGAAGGTTTATTGACCCAGCATATTCAAAATGTGACCCAGTGTACTTTGGATTACAGTAAGCATTGCTGAAGTGCCTTTGTGTAAACAAAAGGCCAAGTCCTAACGTACAATGCTTTGCGAAGCATTAGTGGTTTCAGTTAACATTCACCCAAGAACCATTCAAAATATGTGGTTCTCCAGCTTTGCCTTTAATTTATTACAAGCAAAAATCAAGGAAATTTGTAGTAAAATGACCTATCTACAATAAATAGTTAACAGTGAGTAGCCATTAATACATTGGTCTACCAACAGTCCATTTGGGACTTAAAGAGTAAGTGTTAAATGGCTTATAAATCGTGAGAATCATAATATATTAGAACAGGCATGCAGGTTGAGCGTATTATAAGGACTTACGTGGAGGGTCGTTCATTGTGAAATGTGGTGTGGAGCATGGCTGTTGCGCCTGAACCTATGGAAATGCATCAGAGGTCTGATTGGATTACTGGGCGGCTGTAAGTGACGTCGCAAACATCAATCTATCTGATGTCCTTTGCAAATACTCACATTTCCAGTTTATCGAATTCCCAATTTCGGTGGTATCTGTATGGTTATGTCCACCTTGTCAGAGCTCTTAGTGTAGAAATATTATTGAAAGGCTTAACAGCTAGGGCAATGATTGTCATTAGAGGGATAAAAGATGATAAGTAGATCAGAATTGCCTAAATAAAAATACTCTTCGAAGATATGTAAATACGGCAGCAGGACAAGCGCTTATGTGCCTGGACGTTTTTAGGCTAAGTAGGTTGACTCTGAGTGAGCGTTACCAAGGTGAGTTAATCTCCTCCACCTCTACCTAATCAGTTTACTCGTTCCAAAGGAATAAAGGCCATGGATGTAAAGGCAAACGTTAAACTCATTCCATTGATCAAGTTATGAGCCCAGAATCTTCCATTTGATTAATACGGCAGCATGGCATCAAGGCATATTCAAAGGGCGCTGATACGTGGGTGACACTCGGAATGCATTACAAAATTAAATAAATGCATAAAGTAAATAATTAAGCTGAACCTTTGATTAATTTCAAAAGGCTATAAGGAATCAGTCTCAAATACTTGAACAGCAGGTTACACCAATTAAAGCATATATTTTAAAAAGATTATTATAATTTATGCACAAGAAGTATTTTAGGAATACGCTGTTGTAAGCGTTTTGTCTGCATTCCACTAGTGCTGTAGCACCTAAAATTTTATTTTCAAGTCATCCTTCTCCAAAAGCTTGTATTCAAACCATCGTGAGCCACAGGGTCCACCGTTTCACGAACCTCTCCAACGGTGCAACCAGCTAACACCACGATATCTTCATCTTCAAAACAACTCCAGTGCCATCTCCCAGTCTGCTTTGTGGCATCCAACCACCTTACATCCGCGAACTAGCCAGGTAACTTCAATGCATCTAGACTGAACAAATCCCAAACGAGGTCTTAATCATCATTAGGTGACATGATTACTTACGTCCCCATCACGATCGAGGCAAGCCACATTTTCCATTGCCAATCACTTATAATGATTCCCTGTTTCTCCAGAAAGGTTGCAGATGAGAAATAGGGAAGACTTTCGGGACCCTCTCCGTACAATAATGAAATACATGTTTACTAATTTTCATTTCACCTTGGTAAGATCAACAGATTTTATCTTTTTATTCTACAATCTAATCGACCTTTTTCTTTGAAACATAACGGTTTGACATATCTTCATGTCTGATAGGAAATCAAAATGAAAATCGTCAAATTAAATAAACTGTCTATCGGACAATCCATTTTTCTGTCCAATTCATAATATACGCTACTTAATGCTCCTTAGGAAAAGTATTAATGATGGGATGGGAACACGAAGATTGAATAAAGCAATTGAATAAATAAGTGAAGATAGTAAGGTTAAGCACCACCCGCCAACATTAGGACTGTTCATGCTGAGGTGGGGTGGGGTGACGTGAGGTCACGTAAGGGCACGATTTGTTTACTTCTCAATGGTACAGGCTATAAAGAAAGTGGGAGAGCAGGGGCCGCTTTAGCACGTAATTAGATGAAGGCATATGTTGGATTGGCCTGCTAAGACAACCAATTTAATTGATAAAGACGAATTCCAGTGCAATGCTGCCCAAGAAGTGCTTTCGTCCCGTTACCTATCCTCCATCACCTGGCTCACAGATGGAATATGACCTTCTGATCCTGTAGCCGTAGTTGTAGGGCTGTGGCTAGGCTAGACATAAGCCTTTCCCTTTCTTCAACTTAGGGTGAAGTGGATGTCCTTCATTTGAGGATTAAGCAGCAAAAAAGGCGTTTAACAGATAGTCAATGGAATAGAGAAATAATAAGTTAGTGCCTCGAATTTTCGTTAAAAATGTTTGAAGTAGGAAGATGCGAAACAACGGAACGAAGCGGTATGGATTTGGTGGCTCTTTGGATAGATTTGCTGACTGCAGTGCGAACAGGTCATATCCGCAGAGACCTAGGCCTTGCAAACCATGCATTCTTTTGTTTCGCATGGAATAAACTGAGATTGCGTGACTCCCTTGAGGGCGAATTCGTGGTGCGGAGAAAAAGATTTGTTCATCTCAGATGTCCTAGAGAAGGAGAAGTGACGTTGGACAACGACTC